TTCTTAATGTCCCTGCCTCCTGGCATCTCTTTCTCCAGGATCCCAAACTTCTGCCCCGGCCTTTTTTTTTTAAGTTTTTAAATTTTTAAAAAATTTTGGGGCTGGAGAGATGGCTCAGCAGTTAAGAACACTGGTTGTTCTTGCAGAAGACCCAGGCTCAAATCCCAGCACCCACATGGCAGCTAACAACTATCCGTAACTCCAGTCCCAGGGGATCCGACAGCCTCTTCTGACCTCTGCGGGCATTGCACCCTAAGTAACCCTGGCTGACCTGGAACCTGGAACTCACTATGTAAACCAGGCTGGCCTCAAACTCACAGAGATCTGCCGGCCTGAGTGCTGGGTTTAAAGGCTTGTGCCTCCACTCTGGGATTGGGATTTTTTTTTTTTTATTTTATATTTTCTTTATTATTTTTATTTTATGTGTATGAGTGTATTGCCTGCATGTATGTGAGTATACCCGTGTCGTGCAATGCCTCGGAGGTCAGAAGAGGGTTTCGGATTCTCCTGGAACTGGAGTTAAGGACAGTTCGCAGCTACCATGTGGGGTGCTGGGAATCGAACCCAGGTGCTCTGTAAGAACAGTCAGTGCTCTTAACCCCCTGAGCCATCTCTCCAGCCCCAGGATTGGGATGTTTTTTGGTGGAAAAAAAAATTTTTTTTAAGACAGTGTCTCATATAGCCCAGGCTGGCCTCGAACTCATATGTAGCTGAGGAGGATGACCTTGAATTTATAATCCTCCTGTCTCCACCTCCCATTTGCTGGGATTACAGGCATATGCCACATGCCTACTTTACGAGGTGCTGGGGATGGAACCCAGGGCTCTGCACATGCTACATAAGCATGCTCTATCAACTGAGCCACGACCCTAGCTTTTTTGCTTGGTTTTATTTTTGAGAGGTCTCAAAGTAGCTCAGGCTGGCCTCAAATTCACTATGTAGCCAAGGATGACCTTGAACTTCTGATGCTTTGGCCTCCACCTCCTGGGTGCTGGAATGATAGTCATGAACAGCAGTGCCTGGTTTATGAGGTGTTGGGGATGGAACCCATGGATTCATGCATGCTATGTAGGCATTCTACCAATTGAACCCCAATTTCAGCACCTTTCTCTCTCTCTCTCTCTCCTTCCCCTTCAACTTTTCTTTTCTTTTTTTTTTTTTTTTTGAGGCAGGGTCTCCCTGTAGCCCCAGCTGTCCTGGAACTCACTAGGTAAACCTGGTTGGCCTTGAACTCATAGAGATCAGTCTGCCTCTGCCTCCCCAGTGTTGGGATCAAAGGCATGCGCCACCACATCCAACACCTTCAGCTTTTCTGAGATATCTACCCCCTACCCAACAATCCACCCATTGAAAGCCCATAGCTTAATGCCAGAAAGTTCCATGGCTGCAACTCTAAAAGGGTCTTGGAGTGGAGGCATGGCCCAGTGGTAGCGTGCAGTGCTTGCCCTGTGTGAGTGGGGCAGTGGGTTTGATCCCTAGCACTATCACAACAGAAAGACTGTTAAACATTTTCAGTAGCCACAGTATCTGCCCCCTCCCCCACCAGTCTTCCTCTTTGTGCTCTCCTTCCCCGTGTGGCTATGTCTCGCTCTTTTCTTCGGCCTGGGTCTCCAATATAGAATCTCTGTGGCTAACTCCTGGGGATGTGGTCTATACCTCTCAGGGATTTAACATTTATCTCCTCTCTCTCTCTCTCTCTCTCTCTCGTTTTGTTTGCTCAGACAGGGTCTCCCCATAGCCCAAACTGGCCTGTAACTGGCTATATAGACCAGACTGGCTTCTCACAGAGATCCACCTGCCTCTGCCTCCCAAGTGCTGAGATTAAAGGCATCTGCTACCATGCCCGGCTAATTTCTGGGTTTTGTTTTTGAGACAGGGTCTTCCAATGTAGCCCGGCCTGGCCTTGAACTCCACCCAAATCCTCCTGCCTCAGCCTTCTGAGAGTATTGGGGTGACAGGTGTGTGCCACCACGCCAGCCTTAGAGTTCCTGTTCCTGTGAGCCTGGGGACCCCTGTCCCTGTATCTCTAGCACTCATACCTCTTCACATCTCTACACAATTTCTCCCTGCCTGGGCCCCCCCCATCCCTCTCCTCCTCCTCCTGCCCCATTTCCCAGCATGGCTGGGACATTAAAAATGTAACAGTATCCCAGGCAGGGGCGGGGGAGCTGACCCTTGTGCAAGACTCCCTGTCAACTCCCTGTCCTTCCATGTCTACCACTCCCATGTCCCTTACACTCTGCTGGCCTTGAGGCCAGTCTGTATCCTGTCCTCCCTGAGTTACAGGATCTCCATGTGCCCTCCACTGGGATCTTCTTGTCTTCCTGCCTGTTCTCAAACCTTTCTGTGCTCTGCCCCTCTGGTGTCCCTGTCCACCTCTGGCCACCCTCCATGCCCTGCCACTCTCTGGAGTCTTCCTGCAACCCTTGCAGCTCTGTCGGGTTCTGTGGGTCCGATTCCCTGAACCCTCCCTCTCTTGGCTCGGGTCCCCATCCCTGCATCTATCCTGTCCCTGTTCCTCCAATTCTCCTCTGCTCAGTCCCTCGTCCTTAACAAGAAGAGACAGCCAGGCCTGCAGTTCTCTCTCCTCCCCTCCCCCACCGCTGCATGGGGCTGCCTTGCTGACAGGGATGAGAAGAGAGAGCTGGGGAGGAGCTGGGGAGTAGTTGGGGGGGAGGGATCAAGCATGAGGTCCAGGTGGTGCACCCCCCATTCCCTGAGGAGGCTAGGGAGGAGGTGGCTGAGGAGCTAGAGCTTGGGGACAGGGAATGGGGGAAAAAGAAGGGGGGAAGGGAAGAGAAATGGAGTTCAGAAAGAGAAGAGAGGTGAAGATAGGAAGAGAGGAAGGTGAGGGAAGAGAGAAAGGAGGGGAGGGGGAGGGAGGAGAGGGAGAAGGGAGGAGAGAGAGAGAATGAGCTTAAGCTAGGAAAGGAGAAGAAAGTGGGAAGAGGAAAGGGAGGTGAGAGGAGTAAAGAGGAGAGGGGAGATTTTGGGGGGGAGAGATTCAAGAAAAGAGAGGGAAAGTGAAGAGGGAAGGGAGGTGAGAGGGGGAGAAGGGGGTAAAAGGGAGATGGGAGTGGGGGAGAGCCAGGAAAGGAGAGGGAAAGTGAGGGGAAAGGGAAAGGAGAGCCATAAAGGAGAGGGGAGAGGTATGGGAGGAGAGAGATGGGGCGGGGGCAGGACCTCAGAACCCTGCCCTGGCCCTGAAGGGAAGGGAAGAGTCCCTCAGCTTTAGGAAGCAGGGAGCACTTTTGGGAGCTCGCCCAGCCGGGACTCCGATTTGCTGACTTTCAAAAGCTGGGCTCTGGAGTCTAGCCTCCTGGGGACAGAGTAGGGCTTTGGGAAAGTGGTTTGCCATTTTCTGTTTCCTCCTTTACAGGATGCAAATGGGAACAAGATTTGCTTTGGGGTTATCTGGAACATTTTGTGAGATCATGCACCAAGTCAAAGCTTGGTTCCAGGTCTGGGTTCTGAGAATTCAGCTCTGAGGTGGCAGGTTCTGACTTCATCAATAGCTGACATAGAAAAGGGACAGAGGTTGGGGGAGGTGTTGGAAGAGGGAGGTCAAAGCTGATGACCTCGCAAGAGATATCGCAGTAAAAAAATGTGCAATAGGCATTCTCCTCAAAAAATTCTCCTGCACCCCTTTCTGGGCAAACCCCACAGAAAGTCCATCATCCCATAGTTTGTGGCTAGAAATAAACAGCCGGGTCACCTGCGAGGGGCGGGGCCAGTGCTAGCACACCTGTTTCCTCCCAGCCTTTCCTTTCCCTGGGGACCTCGCCCCTTTAGGAGTCGGGAGGAGGGTGGAGAGGGATGTGCCCATTAGCAAGGAGGCTCCTCCCATTTACCTCTCGTAGAGGTTCGAGGACAAAGGCTTGACTAGAGGAAAGATAAGGCGCCGAAACCGGGAGTCGGGAGTCGGGAGCACTCTGCCCCGCCCCTCCCCTCCCCAACTGGGTGAAAGCGATACCCGGAAAACTTCCCCAGGGCCTTCGCCTCTCCAGAAACACCAGGAAAGGAGGTGGTGGGCTCCACGCCTCTGGGTCCCAGCCTCTGACTCTACCAGGGGCACAACCGACAGAGTCCCTAACTTCAGGCGGCGTTTTCTGCCCTGGGGGCCAAAGGTCAGAGTCTCCTGGCCATTAAATTCCTTTGCCTATAATGAAATCCGAAGCCGAACCGACCGGGCTTCTGGTCCCCGGTGGGCAGAGCTGCCCACCGTGAAACCCAGAACCCACAAGTTTGAGTTCCCTTTTTATTGACCCTACCCCCCAACTAGGGTTCACATCCAGCATTCATTTCTTCTGAGCTCCTGAAGGCAGAACCCCAGTTCTTAATTTTTCTAGAACCCAGTGGTCAGCTGCCTGTAAACTCCCTGAGGCCTGAGGCTGGGGCCCCCGATTCAGACCCTTCCCCCCAGGGTACCCCAACTCTCATCCTTGGTCCAGCAAAGACCCCCCCAAAGTCCGAGCTCTCCACCCCACTTGAGAACCTGGACTGTCCGTCCCCTCGCGCCCAATTCTCAGTGGGCCTCAGACGCCCAATCCAGCAAGAAGGGAAAAAAAGGGGGGGGGGATTGTCTCTCCTAACCAACACGAACCTCCTAGAGAGTGTGGGGGGGCATTCCCCACATTCCTGAGGAGGGGGAACAGAGACGGAAATCCAGATCCGGGATAAGTGATCAGAGCAGGATGGGGAGGATTAACCCCTTCCACCCTGAGGAAGGTGGAGGGGGACAGAGAAGCCGAGGTAGGATGGGCACCTGGGATTGAGCGTATGCGAAGGATGCAGAGGAGGGTTTCGGGGACTCACAGAGGCAGGAGGGTGTGTTAGAGGGGTATCTGGATCGGTTAAAGCCAGCCTAGAAGGGGGAGCTGGGAATGGGATATGTTGGGGGGCTCTCTGGGTCGGTTAGGGCCAGCCTGGAAAGGGGAGCGTGGTGGGGGAAGATGCCCGGCTCCCTCCTCTGGGAGGGGGTTGCAGCCGCGGGTTTTCACCTGTTTCCCGGAGCAGCAGCAGCAGCAAGGACAGCAGAGGCAGCGTCGGTGGCAACCTGGTCGGCGGGAGGACTGCGGCCCGGGCCATGGGGGGCCCGGGAAGGGGCTGCGGCCGGGCAGGGGGTTCCTAGGGACCACTCTGCGTGCAGCGATCGGTTGGGAGGACCACCCGGTGCCTGATGCGTCCGGCTCCAGGCCGGTTCCCGCCGCTTACAGCTCCCGGGCTCCGTTCCGGTGTCTCGGCTTTTCCCAGCCGGGCTCTCAGGATCCGCGCCCCCCGGCCCCTCGCTTAGCTCCAGCGGGCGGGGCTAGTGACGTCACAGGCTCCACCCCTGCCTCCTCCCTCCTTCCCTGCGGCTCAGGCTCCGCCCCTCTAGGCGTTCTGACCCCGCCCTCCCCCTGCCCACACCTGTCGGTCCCCAGGATTCTATCTCCCCGCCGCTCCGGGGATAGGCCCCGCCCCTGTTCGCGATCTGACCACGCCCCCGTTGGCATCGAGCCACGCTCCCTCTGCGAGGCCTAGGAAGGACGACTGCTCCCTCTGCTGGCGGTTTCACTGAGATGCTACCACGCCCCCCTTCGGAACTTCCGGCCGGCCGCGACCTGCTGAAGCCACGCCCCTTTACCCTAGGCCACGCCCACTCAATTCTTCTAGTAGCCTGAGCTTGTGGGCACTCATAGGCCCTTCCCTCCAGAGGCCCCGCCCCTCGCCGGAGCCACGCCCCTTTCTCCCAGATCTCTTGTTCCCTCTTGTGGTCCTCTCAGTGGACCTTCTGCCCCAGATCCTGGTGTGGCCGCATCCTTTCTCGATGTATCCATTCTCTCCTGTGTCTCTGTCTCTCCATCTTTGGGTCTCACTGTCCGTCCCTGTGTTTTTCGTTCTGTTTCTGGTCTCTCTTTGTCAATGTGCTGTGCCTGTGTCACTTGGTCCCCGTATCCCGTTTGCAGTGCGTTGATTCTGTGCGTCTGTGCCTCTGCATCTCCACGTCCCTGTCACTCTCTGTGTCTTCGTCTCTCCGTGTTTCTCGGTGTCACTCCATGCTTCTGTCCCTCCCACTCTGCCTCCACGTCCTTTTTTTTTTTTTTTTTCCATACTGCAGCCTCCCGCTAGGGAGCAGTACAGACCGGCCTCGGTGCTCTCAACCCCTCTGGGTGGGGCTGGACTAGAGTCCGGCCTCCGGACCCTGCCAGGCCCTCCCGGCATCCTTGTCCCAGTTTATCTCAGCAGCCTCCTCTGGTCTTTGTGCCTCGCTCTGACTTGGTCCCTTTGTCTCTCCTCCCCACCCCCACCAGCCTCTTCACATTCCTGGTGAGACTGTCCACTTAGCAAGGTGAGGGAGGGGAAAGGAAGGCAGAGGGAGGGGACCCGGGAATCCCAGCCCCCTACTGTCCCCGAGGAGGAGGTGCCTAGCTGGTCTGCTGGAGCCCTGAACTTGGGGGTTTCTTCCAAGAGAGACACCTGGGCTAAGCTGGGCACCCTCCTCCCACGTGCTGCACACCTGGATTCCCTTTTCCAGATGGCAAGGTCCCAGGGAATGGAGGCTGGCTATGATCTGACCTACTTTCCAGTCTTGTTAATAATACCACTTATTTAACTGTTAGTTGTGCTCTGGCCTGCGCCCCATGGACATGGACTTGCTTGTGGGCGATAGGACCACTTGCAAGAGTCACTTTTCTTCCACCATGTGGATTCTGGGGAGACAACTAAGGTGATCTGGCTTCGTGGCAAGTGCCTTTAATCTGCTGAGCCATCCCACTGGCCCTGTTTTTGTTTTATGAACTAGAGTCTCATGTAGCCCAGGTTGGCTTGGAACTCCCTGTTTCCCTGGTAGCTGATGACCTTGAACTCCTGATCCTCCTGCTTTATTTAGCCTCTAGAGTACCTGGATTACAGGCATGAGTCACTATACATGAAGTTTACTAATACTTTTCTTTTTATCTGATTTATTTTATTGATTTTTAAAAATTATTTATTATTTTAAAATATATATTATTTTTAGTTTATGTATATGAGTGTATTACTTGCATGTATGTAAGTGCACTGGTGTCATGCAATGCCCATGGAGGTCAGAAGAGGGCATATCAGATCCCCTGGTACTGGAGTTATGGATGTTAGCCACCACGTGGGTGCTGGGGATTGAAACTCGGGTCCTCTGCAAGAGCAGCAGGACTGTTAAGCACAGAGCCATCTCTCCAGCCATTTATTTATTTATTTGTTTGTTTGTTTATTTATTTTTGTCTTTTAAAAAATATTTTATTATTTTTATGTGAATGAGTGTATTGCCTGCATATGTGTAAGTACACTCATGTCGTGCAATGCCTGTGGAGGTCAGAAGAAGGCGTTGGATTCCCCCAGGACTGGAGTTATGAATGGTTGTTAGCCACCATGTGGGTGCTGGGAATTGAACCCCGGTCCTCTGCAAGAGCAGTCAGTGCTCTTAACTGCTGAGCCATCTCACCTCTCCAGCCCCTTATTTTTGTCTTTTTGAGACAGGGTCTCCCTGTAGTCCCAGCTGGCCTGGAACTCACTATATAGACCAGGTTGGCCTTGAACTCACAGAGATCCACTTGCCTCTGCTGGAATTAAAGGTGTGTGCCACCATACCCAGCATCCAGCCCTTATTTATTATTTCTATTTAATGTGTATGACTGTATTGCCTACATGTATGTAAGTGCACCCAGTTCTTGCAATGCTTTCAGAGGTCAGAAGAGGGTGTCAGATCCTCTGGAATTGGAGTGTCAGATGGTTGTCAGCTGCCATGTGAGTGCTAGGAACCAAACCTAACTCCTCTGCAAGAGCAGCCAGTGTTCTTAACCTCTGAGCCATCTCTCCAGCCTCTATTTATTGCTGGCCTCTGACTCCAGAGTGCTGGGATTAAGGGCAGCATCCTCACACCCAGTTTTGACTTACTTATTTTTATTTTATGTACATGATGTTTTGCTTGCGTGTATGTAAGTGCACTCTTTCGTGCAATGCCCAAGGATATGAGAAGAGGACGTTGGAACTCCTGGAACTGGAGTTACAGATGGTTGCTAGCTACCATGTGGGTATTGGGATCCAAACCTGGGTCCTCTGGAAGAACAACAAGTGCTTTAAGTGCTGAGCCATCTCTTTTTTTTCTTTTTTTTTTTTCTTTTTTTAAGACAGAGTCTCATGTAGCCCAGGCTGGCCTCCAACTCAGTATGTAGCTGAGAATGACCAAATGCTAGGATTACAGGGATGTACCACCATGCCTGGTTTTATAAAGCACTCAGGATTGAATTGCATGCCAGGCAAGCACTCTACCAACTGAGCTGCATCCACAGCCCTTAATGATGCTATTAATAAACACTTTTAGCATTTCCTGTCTACCCAACCACTCATCTACGCCTGCTGCAACTGTTACTAAAAAAAAAAAAAGAAAAGTCCACCCATCAAACCCTGGGAGTAGGGAAACTGAGGCATGGACAAGAGAAGTGATGTGGCCCCAAGTCAGTGTTACAAAAAAGGCAGGTCCAGAGATAGGCTCTTAATAGCTGAGCCATCTCTCCAGCCCTGATTTTTGTTTTTTCATTTTTCGGGGGGTGTTTTTGGTCTTTTTGCCACAATTGGCCTGGAATTCATTATATAGACCAAGCTGACCTCCATGTCACAGACCTGCCTCTGCCTCCTGAGTGCTGGGACTAAAGGCTTGTACCACCACCATGTCCAGCCTAACTTTTTATTTTTTTAATTAAAAAAATATTTATTTATTTATTTATTTATTATTTATTTAGTCTATTTGAGATAGGGTCTTCCTGTAGCCCCAGCTGTCCTGGAACTCACTATGTAGACCAGGCTGGCCTTGAACTCACAGAGATCCGCCTGCCTCTGCCTCCCAAGTGCTGGGATTAAAGGTATGGGCCACCATGCCCTGCAAAATTTTTATTTTTTTAACTTTTACAAAAACTATTGAGAATTTCATACATGCATATAAGGTGTTTTGATCAAATCCATGCCCACTCCCTCCCATCCAATGTTCCCCCCTCTGAAGAGGTAACCCTAAAATATTTTAAGGATTAGATACAAGCTCCCAAATACTTTTGACATTTTGATGTTTTTTGTCTTTGGAACAGAGTGTGTTGCTAACAGGCCCAAGGACATTTTGACTTTTAGCCTAGGAACTGGCTACATTTCTTTGGGGTCTTTTTACTCTAACTGCTTAGCCAATTCCTACCTCCAATTCTTATCACGCCATCCTCTGAAGGGGTTACCCAAATTGCCAATAGGGAATAGGGACACAGACCGCTCTGGCTTCTTCCATGCTGAACAGGAACGCAGGGTGAGGCAATTGGAGTACCCCTTCAGTGAGTCTATCTAAAAGACTCCCAAATTGCATAACTCTTGTCTCTAAAGGGAAAAGAAAGTCCTTGAATCATGAATAGGAGATGTGAAGGAGAAGTAAAGGCAAGAGCAATTAGCATTACCAGCTCTAGACTGGGAACTAGAAAAAAGTCAGAACAGGGCAATTTTCAAATTTCATATTCAAATTCCATTGGAATTTCTTGACAATGGCTTCCAAAAGCATTCCTCTATCGGGTCCTTCCTCATTTTTCTTTTGTCTTCCAAGGCTGGACTAGTTGGCTGGGAAGAGTGGCTGGATACTCAGGTGAGGGTCCAGTGACCCTGCTTGGCACTCCTTTAATGAATGAGCACAACCGTCAGCAAGCCCAATTGTGACTATGTTTAGCGATCAGGCTCGCAGCTGAAGTCGTGGGTGGTAGTTATTTCATGCAAAAGGGACTGCTGTATAGCATCATCTTATTAAAAG